TTAAACTTGAGCCGGATTGAGTGAATACTTCTCTTCGTCCATCTTGTTGCCTATTTTGATGTGAGGTGAAGAATGCTCCTTACTGGCCTAGTTGCGAATGAACACTTTGCTTGGAAGGTTGCTCATGTTGATTATTGGAGTGCGGCCCCAACCGTGAATTTATGTTTGTCCGTGGGCCTAACCGAAAGTGCACGCTAAGACGAGAGTATACACTATCTCGGGGGCCCAGTCAGTATTGTACACTGCGAGAACACTTGGTTCGTGATTAGTCAAGTGGCTGCTTATCGGGATGTTACTGGAGAGGTTCGTCGTCTACCCTTGTCCTACTTCAGGACACCTCGTCTGGGGCACGCTGCATCTTAGTACGTTGCAAGAGCTGATTCACCAAGGTAATCTGTTGAGCAAGGGCACTTGTCAACTCTATGACTTTTCAAGAAAAATGTTGTTCGCCATTTGGGGTGGAAAAGCTTGGACGATATACGTCTCCTTGAGTAGTGGAAGTGTATTGGACTCCAGGTTCAAGATTTGAGTTGGGATTTGTCAAATTTGTGGAGAAATAAGGTGAAAATACCTTCGGTTCAATAGTCGGCCCAGAAATTTGGAGCCGGGACGGTTGAACTGGTCTTGGACCGATTTAGGCTGCTTGGGACACCACAGAAGTGGGTTGGATCTTGAATTGGGTCGCTGACGTGGGTTGCCCCATATATGCTGCGCGTGGGCGCTAGGTCTGCTTCCTCCTCAACTGGCTTGGGCCGGCTGATGTGCGGCACATACTTGGGCCAGGCTTTGCAAAATGGCGAGAGCCTGGGCTTGGTGCTGCTCCATGACGTGGGCCTGGGCGTGTCATGGTTCGGCTGCTGGCTTCTAGGCCTGGGCTTCCTCCTGGGCTTGGGCTGCTGAAATGGCCGCAAGCTGGGCTGCTTTCAAGGTTTACTCATTTTGGGCCATAGCCTGCTATCTGGGCTGGCTACCTTATGGTATGGGCTTGAGCCTGTTGCTGTGAGGTGGCTTGCTCATCGTGAGTAGTGGGCTCACCGAAGGTTGCTGTCATAGCTACTACCACAGTGGTTGTCGCGATGGTGTCCCATGGGGGTGGTGCCGCTCCACTCGTCATCATGTTGAGCCTCATGGATCATCGTGGTCCAAATTCTTGAACGTTGGAATTTCCGTTCGTCGTGGTTTCTGGATCTCTTGTCATTGTACTTTTCTTTTACGTTTATTTAAAGAATTTTTGTATTAAAAAAAAATCTAGAAATAAGAACATACGAAAAATCTACAAATGAACAAAAAATTAGAAACCTTGAATGCGAAAGTCTTCTACGAGTATGTAAATCAAGACTCTCAATGAAAGCATCAATTTGTGGATTCAAATTTCTGCCTTCTTCTTCTTGGATGAAAATGCACCTGCAAAACAATTAACACCTAAGATTAAGGCCAAGAGCCTCACACGCCCATGATGAATTGGTGGGAGGGCTTTGGCCGAAGAATCTCTGATGCCAAGGTTAGAATTTTAGAGAAAATGTTTAGAAAATTTTTAGAAGAGAATTGAACCTAGGTTTTAGGAGAAAATGAGTGGCTATATATAGGGGTGTGGCTGGCCTTATTAGGAGAATTGGGATTGACCACATTCGGTTGATTTGTGGGATTGATTGCAAGATATTATGTAAAATAATATCTTGCAATTAGTTTTGCAATTAATCAATTAATTAGGAAATTAATCAATTGATTTTGGCAATTAATCCTAATTTGAAAATGATGATTGGGAGTCACCTGGTGGGTGAGGATTTGATGAGGAGTGATGAGAGGGTTTAAAAGAATACCATTTTGATCATCTTTGACCTCGATTATGCCGTTATTGTCCGTTGCATACCCCTGGAAATCTCGGTGTGTCTTGAGTGTAATTTTATCTTCTTTACCCAAAAGTTCACGCGTCGCCTCCGTGATTTTCTTGATTATTTTTTACTCCACAATACTCATTTTAGAAAATTAATCTTTACTCATTTTATGCAAGAGTAATACTAAAGAGAACATATATTTATATCACATTGGTGTACTTAAAATTCATTGAATCTGTCAAACGATAATTGATTAGATGTTGTCTTAAAAAATTCTTGTCCTATACTATTCAACTTATTAAAACTTTGCCGTATAAATACAAATGACCCCACCTTTGAGACACAACAAACTTTTGTGTAGTTTAGCGACAAAAGAGAAAGTAGGAAATTTTGTGTTGTTCCATGGAAAAACGACATGGATGATCTGTTTTTCTTGTTTAATTAGTCTTTTTTTCCAAACTTATTTTTTTTGTCAAAACGAAATGCGTGGGTTAATCTCAGTCGTATCAAATAAAAGTCAAAGATTTTAATCTTAGGAAACCAAGTTTATAAATTAAATTATCCCAGTTGGAAGATTTGTACATGATGATGTGGCTTATCGTGTAAAGGTCAACATATAGGTTGATGCATGTTGAATCCTGGGTTTCAAAATTCAACTCATCTGTCAAATCTGTTTCTACAGTTTTCTTGCTTAGGGTTTCATCCCATCAATCGACGGCCTTGTGAAGGAAGCGAATGAGGTAAGAAAAGTTGAACTCGAGGTCTAGCATATCTTACTGTCCTTTTCTATACGCATTAATCCTTAATTTGACCAGTGAGATCGAGGAGGCATCTTTGAATATACAAAATACCTTGAGCTATAGCTATCATGCAGTTGCATGCAGATGTCAAAACCAACTTCTTAGATATATATCTTGTTTGTAACTTTGTACCAAATGACAAATGTCAAACATTAATTTTGTGAATGTCAAACGTATTACATACCTTTTTACAATGCAGTCCAACCTCTTTTATTTTATTTGGAATTTGAGCAAAGGCTATGTGCACTGAATGCGTGTGTACTCGATGATACATATTCTGGTTTTTAGTAGCACCAGAATTTAACTAACTTCTTTTTAATTTATTCTTCTAAAGAAAGGTAGACAACTAAGGTCGTTTAGTTGTTCAAGGGGAGCAAATAGAGAATGATAGCAATTTGATACCAGTTAACTTGTATATATGGTGTAAATGATAAGCTAAACTGAACAATTTTTAAGCAAAATCTGCTGGAGTAAAAGAAAATATTGATATACCAGTTAACTTGCATGTAAAATGTAAATGATAATTGCGGGTTATGTGGGCAATAACTGAGAAGAATGACAATTTGATATTGAAAATATGAAAGCTCATCGTAAACGTTTATACCCCAAGAGCATGACTAAATATAATTTTTCGAAATAATATTGCAGTCATTCCTTGGTAGGTATGTACATTATTGTAAATTTGATGTCAGATTTCTTAGCAGTACGAATGCCTAACATCTTTAATCTATTCACTAATCAACTTCTTGATACAAGATTGATCTTCTAATCGCGTACGTATGCCATACATACATGTTGAGTTTGAATGAATGAAAATTCAAAACGTAATGTGGTAAACTGAATGAGATCAATAATGTATGTTTTCGGTCCGAGGAAGATTGTGGAGAATATTTGGTAAATGGGTGATCTACTAAGCAATGGCAAGATTTTGGGAGAGCAGTTGGAGACTGCTGCATATTTTTGGACAAGATTTTAATTAATTCAATAATTTTATGTTAAATTAGTAGGACAATTACAAAAATGATGACCATTAGGATGAGGCATATATGAAGATTAAGATAATAAATTGAAGAATAATAATATAAACTAAGCAGCTTAGTTTTATTACCTAGTAATGAGGTTATGCCTGACTCAACATCCATATTTATAATCTTCCACACTGAAGAGGATATATATGTCAGCGATTACATCCCTACACACACACACATATATATAACACGTGATGAAATAAGAAGATGACAAATAGATCAAACATCATAAGTTATGTAATCAAATACTTGAATTTAATTTTCAGCAATGCAAATAGTAATACATCTTCCAATCCTTTAATATGATAAGCAGCATGTCAGTCCAGTGTCACGAATTAAACCTCGGAAACAAGAATATATATGATCAATGTACTTAATACCAAGACTGAAAATGTTTCAGTCAGTGATCAAAACGGTATAAACTGAAATACTAATTAAACACTGACGCTGCATAACTTGATCGATCCAAGAAATATTCCTTACTGGATTTATTTTTCAGCTTTAATTATTTGATTACACATTAACCATGAACAACTTGTTTGGTACAAAACAACAGGTGATGGTACTAATTAAAATTCCAGATGAAACCATAAAAGTCACTAATGGGGTTTAACATTCTGCAGATCGACTTTTCACTTGAATTTGACCTGAGAGCTAGTAGTTCATCTTAATTGTTTATGAATAGCATCAGAAGCATCCTTGACATTCTTCAGAGTGCAAGTTACAATTCCAAGCAAAACATGGAATGATGGAAAGTCTTCTATATATATGGACATGCTGCAGTATTCTGTTTTCCTTGGGTAATTCCTAATGAAAGTTGTAATGTTATCACACTGACATCAACATATATCGGAACCACAGTAAATATATTGGACACTACAATTCCACGAAAAAAAATGTCAAATTTTTGGTATCTTTGCCATCTCAATTCAAATACTTGTTCACTATGTGGCCAACAACAGTCAATGACAGCACATCTTCTCAAGTAGCACACAATCTGTATATTTTTCATCTGCTTTTCTTCATGTCGCGTACCTTTTAGTTTCATTGTCACAAAACATAAACACAATCCGAACCTTGAATCGTAGGTACGCCACCTTATTCTTCTGGCATTCGATATCCAACCGAAATCTGACCCGTGGCGTCACGAAAATTTGTCAACCAAATTTACTGTCTCATTTGATGACACATGCACTACCTAATCCTGTTAACTATAGTGCCATCTAAATGGTTTATAACTTTCTAGGTTGCTTCCTCGTCAATCGTCATTGCTTGTTTCGGGGAGCTAAGAAATATATCCTAACGAGGAAAAGAATGAAATGACATCACTCTTTGAATTACATCTTCCTTACACCTATAAAATCAGCATGTCTCAGAAATATATAGGCCCAAAACTAATCCTAGAATCAATCAATCTTCATACCTTTTTCGGACTTTAATTTCATCGTCTTGAATTTGGATATATTTGTGTGTTAATATTAGCACAATGGTTAGAGCCCCTTGTTGTGATGAAGAGAGCAGTTTGAAGAAAGGTCCCTGGACAACCGAAGAAGATGCAAAATTGATGGATTATATTAGCAGAAATGGCCATGGAAGCTGGAGAGCTCTCCCCAAGCTTGCTGGCCTCAACAGGTGTGGCAAGAGTTGCAGATTAAGGTGGATAAATTACCTGAGGCCTGATATTAAGAGAGGAAAGTTCTCCGAAGAGGAAGAAAGAGTTATCATCAATCTTCATTCAGTTCTTGGAAACAAGTATGCTAATTAATTTGCTCCATCCATCACAATTCACACATAAAATTAAGTTTCCTCTAGAAAAATTTGGGAAACTAATTAATTAAAGGTGTACTTCGCTTGTTCTTTCAGGTGGTCAAAGATTGCAACTCATCTTCCAGGGAGAACCGATAACGAAATCAAGAACTATTGGAACACCCAACTGAGAAAGAAGCTCCTGCACATGGGGATTGATCCAAACACTCACAAGCCAAGGACTGACCTCAATCAGCTCCTCGACCTTACAAAGTTGCTCGGCGCGGCAAGTGTTGGCAACTCGAACATGATGACTAGTCCTTGGGACAATGCCCTGAAGCTGAAAGCAGCTGCAGGTGCTGCCCAACTTACCAAAATGCAGTTACTTCAACATTTATACATGATGCCGGTCGTGAGGACAAGTAATAGTAGTGTTCCTCCTAATAATTATAATGTAGACTTGATGAACCCTTCTAGTAGCCTTTTTGGTTCTCACATTCTTAATCCGTTTGGAGGAGGACATGTGAGTGGAGCAAGTACCATGCTAAGTGGTCAAGAATGGAACCAGCAGGCAGATGTAGTCGATGGCTTCCACTCGATTTCTAACTCGTTAGAAGGATTTGAAGGTGGGTTTGGTGCACAAGGAGTTATTAGTAGCAACAGTCCTGATCAGGAGAACATGAGCAGTAGTTGTTGCTATGATGATATATATTTGCAGACCAAGAACCACCCACTTCCTGCATTAGTTTCATCATCATCAGTATATCCTGGGACTTCTTCAGCAGCGAACCAAATGGAAATGAGCATGAGTGGTCCTGCAGCACCTGCGCGCACGGCCATCTTTGATGCTTTGGAGAAACTCTTGGATGATGAAACAAGTGAATCCTACTGGAAAGATATTCTAGAGTATGTTCTTGCAGATTAATATCCTCTCAAATCTTTCGCTTCATTACTTTCATGTTACATTGAGTATTGAATATTTCCTCTTTATTCTTTGAGATAAAATAAAATTCGTAATAATTAATCTAGAAACTGTTCACCCGATGCATTTGCCTCCTTATAAACTAAAGTTTACATTTTTCTTTCTGTTTTGCAGATCAATTTCATAAATTCCTTCATCGTGATCTCTCTGGCTCGTACAGCCTTTCAACTTTGAAGAAACTTTTCAACTTCAGACAGAAAAATTATTTCTGCATTCATTATTCGTTAATAAGGTTTATTTTTCGGATTGGTTATTGCTTGATGTGGCTTCTGAATTCTCAACTCATATACATATGTTTTTATGTACTCGGCACCTATGTGAAAAGATTAATTACCTCCAAATTCTTGTAAAAGTATTGTTCAATTTCCTTTTCCATTGAATATATATAGTAGTTCACTACCGTAATTTCATTTCCTACATATATATAGTCTCAGTAGCACTCTATTTGTTGCTTGTAAACACAGAGAGAAGAAGAAGAAGAAGAAGAAGAAGAAGAAGGAGAAGAAGAAGATTGATGCAGTATTTCGTTAGAAATTAAACTTATGTTCCATAATATGAGAGAATTAATTAATTAAGGCTTTGACCATGCATACTGTTGCATGCCAAAGTCAGACATGTATATGTATATGTGTGTGTGTGTGTGTGTGTGTAAAGTATATGTATGTGTATGTTGCTGTCGAAGGGATCTCCGAGTGTAAGATCAGCTGATGAATAAAGCAAGGGAAGGATATTTTCGGTGTTTTCAATGATTAATTATTAATACTCCATGCATATTTATGTGAACAGTCACTAAAAGTCAGATTAGTAGTTAAATTGCTACTCATTAGGTAAGATTATTTCCGTTTAATACAAGGTATTGACTGGTGCAAAATCCATTTACCAAGTTCCCAACTAAACCACCTAACAATTTTTAAAACTAAATTGCCACATTGGGATAACGTTTTAAATACTAATTAGACAGACTTAGCGTCATCTTTATGTTTGGGGTCTCAAAATACAGTCACTAAAAATCAATACGATGTTAAGAGATATATTGACATTTTTTTTATCAACGAGGAAATTTTGATCTTTGTCACAAAAAAATAAACCTAAAGAAATTTTCATCTTTTGATTTGAAATATAATACACTTGTATAATAATCCATGGTTTGATTTGAATACAATTTGTGGATGCAAATTTCCACCTTCTTGATCTTGGACAAAATTGCACATACTAACACCTTAGGTTAAGGCCAAGAGCCTCACGCGCTCATGATGAATAGGGGGGCTTTGGCCGAAGAACCTCCGATGCCAAAGTTAGAATGTAGAGAGAAAAAGTGTTCGGAGAGTTTTTGAAGTTTTACAAGAGTGTGGACTTAGCTTTTTAGAGAAAATAGGATCATATATATAGGGAATGGAGGTGGCCCACCTTTAGAGGTTTTTTGTGTGAAAATGGGTGATTTAATTGGTGATTAATGGATTAATTAGGAATTAATCCATTAATTAGCCAATTAATCTCCATTTATATGGAATAATTTGTAGGTTATGAAGTAATTACCTAAGATGAGGATGGATGAGATAATTTGGAATTTGTTACCTATTTTGGACACTCTTGGCTTGATTAAAGAATGATTGTCCACTGCTCGTGCGTAGGACAACCGGTGTGTCTCAGGGGTAACTTTGTCCTTTTCACCAAAAATCCACGTGTCGCCTTGTGATTATTTATGGCTCCACAAATGCTCCCACACCTGCTAGACTGCTCGTAGGAAAGGGCAACAGGTGTAGAGATCTTCTTGCTCTAGGATACTTAGGATTGCTTCCTGTTTTGATGTAGATTCCCTCTTTAATATGAAATTAGATCCTTAGGAAAGGGAAATAAATTTCGCTCAAAGCCTGTTGAAGTCCACCTTAAGTGGGTTATTAAATCAACTTTGGAGAGTGATTTATTCTACCCTACAAGAGAGAGAGAGAGAGAGAGAAAGCTTAGAGGATATTTGTTCCCCCTCCTCTAACAATCTTCTACATCTTGCCCGTGCAAAGGACCGTCTTTCGTTGCTTTCTTCATCTTCTCCATGCCGCACCAATGTAATAAAAACTTAATTTTTTCTTGTCTTCTTCTTGGGTGGTGCTGCCACGGGGCAGTCGTCGGGGTGGTACGGCATGTTGGCTGGCAAGGGCCAGGAGTTGGCTTGGCATAAGCCAAGAAGGTGATATGGCAGGGGCCATTGCTTTAGCAGCTTGGCTTGATTAAAGCCAAGGATTGGTTCGGCATGGGCCGAGGAAATGTTGTGGAATAGGCAATTGTCTGGGCTACCTGCTGAAAATGAGGAAATCGCTTGAGTTTGATTTTTCAACATTTGTTGCTTAGTTGATCTTCAGGCATTCGATTTTTTGAGCTATGTGGCTTTCTCGCACTAGAGAGCTTACCTATATGGGTATCGGGGATTTAGTTTACCCTCTTGCACTGGAGAGAAATTAGTTTACCCTCTCGCATTGAAAAGCAATTAGTTTATCCTCTCGCAAAGGAGAGCAGACCCTTTTGGGGTGTTGGGGACTTGGTTTACCTTTTCGCACTGGAGAGCAATTAGTTTATCCTCTTGCACTGGAGAGCATGGAAATCATTGTCGTGAGTGCAACTGAAGAAAGTTGGACTGCTGGGACAACCGAAAAAATCCTGAGCCTACCCCCGGTTCTTGGTAGTTGGGCTGGTGTGTCCTTCTGGTACTCGTCTGCCCCCCGACGTGCTATTAGGCTAAGTTGCTACATTTGTCGGAACAGAAGTAGTCTTTATATCCAACAATTTATATGGGGTAGTCCTGTCTACTCGATCTTGTCATTGAAAGATGACTCGCTCATGTTGGTCATGTCTTATCGGAGCGCCTTGTCAATAGCTTCGTTGTGCAGGAAATTGCGCAATCGTTCGATCAGGAGCCTTTCTACTTCTTCCTGAATTTACCTTTGTTGGGAGTGGCAGAGTTCTCGGCTGCCCTAGTCTTGACTTGCCGGTCTAAGCTGCTTTTCTACGTGCTCAGCTCGTCTATGTCGTGGCAGCGATGCATATGGTGGATTCCTAGTAGGCGAGGGATTTCGCAGGCTGCTGGTTGAAATTGAGCCGGATTGAGTGACTGCTTCTCGTTGCCCGTCATGCTGCCTATTTCGATGTGATATAGAGGATGCTCATTGCGGGCCTAGCCGTGAATGAACACTTCGCTTAGAAGGCTGCTCATATTGATTATCAGAATGTGGCCCCAATCGTGAGTGTATGCTCGTCTATGGGCCTAGTCGAGAGTGCACGCTCATCCACGCATTAAGACGGGAGTATACATTATCTCGGGGGCATAATCGGGAACGTACCCTACCAAAACGCTCGGTTCATGGTAGGTCGAATGGCTGTTTATCGAGACGCTGCTGGAGAGGTTCTTCGTCTGCCCATGTCCTTCTTTGGGACACCTCGTTTGGAACACGTTGCATCTTCATGTGCTGCAAGAGCTGGTTCACCAAGGTCGTCTGCTGTACTAGGACGCTCATCAACTCTATGACTTTTCGAGATAAGTGTTGTTCGCCATTTGGATTGGAAGAGCTTGGAAGGATTGTTTCTCCTTAAGCAGTGGATGTGGGGTAGACTCCGGGCGCGAGATTTAAGCTGGGGAATGTCAAATCAGCAGAAAAATATGGTAAAAATGCTCCCAGTTTGATCATCGGTCTGGAAATTTGGAGCTGAAACGGTTAAACTAGTCTTTGATCGATTTGGGCTACTTGGAAGGCCACGGGACCAGACTGGGCTGCGAGAGCAGGCTAGGCCACGGGAGGTTCGACCACGGGAGCAGGCTGGGCCACGAGAGCAGGCTACTCGGTAAGAGCATGTTAGACTACGGGAGCAGGCTGGGCCACGAAAACAGACTACTCAGCGGGAGCAGGCTAGGCCACAAGAGCAAGCAGCTCGATGGAAGCAGGTTGGGCCATGGGAGTGGGTTGCTCGGCATGTGGCACACGTGGGTGCGAGGCTAGGGCTTGGAGTGACATGGCTTAGGTCATGGCCTTGGTGCCATGAGCCTTGGATGGCACAGCTTAGGCTTGCTTTGGTGGCACAGCTAGGGTTGTGGTAGTGGTGCCATGGACCTCGCCGCGGGTGGCCACCGCGATGGTTCCCATGGTGGAACCTTGTGGTGGTGGTGCCGCTCCCCCTAGGATCACATTTAGTCTCATGGATTTCTGCGGTCCCATTTCTTTTATATTTGAATTTTCACTTATGGAGTTTTCTAAATTTCTAGCCATTGTATTTCTCTTTTTTCGTTTTATCAAAGAATCTTTGCAAATAAAAAATTCTAATAATAAGAACGTACGAAAAATACAAGTGGACTAGAAAATAGAGAAAAAAACATTTTTTATGCGAGAGTCTTCTACGAGTGTGAATTTTAACTCTCAATGAAAGCACCAATTTGTGGATGCAAATTTCCGCCTTCTTGATCTTGGAAAAAATTGCACCTGCAAAACAATTAACACCTTAGGTTAAGGCCAAGAGCCTCACACGCCCATGATGAAGGCTTTGGCCGAAGAACCTTCGATGTCAAAGTTAGAATTTAGAGAGAAAAAGTGTTTGGAGAGTTTTTGGAGTTTTACAAGAGTGTGGACTTAGCTTTTTAGAGAAAATAGGGTCATATATATAGGGAATGGAGGTGGCCCACCTTTAGAGGATTTTTTGTGTGAAAATGGGTGATTTAATTGGTGATTAATGGATTAATTAGGAATCAATCCATTAATTAGCCAATTAATCTCCATTTATATGGAATAATTTGTAGGTTATGAAGTAATTACCTAAGATGAGGATGGATGAGATAATTTGGAATTTGTTACCTATTTTGGACACTCTTTGCTTGATTAAAGAATGATTGTCCACTGCTCGTACGTAGGACAACCTGTATGTCTCAGGGGTAACTTTGTCCTTTTCACCAAAAATCCACGTGTCGCCTTGTGATTATTTCTGGCTCCACACAATTCATTAATTTGTACTTAAGCATCCAGATTGTGATCATCTGACGGATTTACAATCATATTATTGAATGATATTCTTCTCTACATACACTACTACAATATTAGCTTTAGGTGTCGGATGATGGTGGCGGTTTAATAAGACATTATGTCGGATAAAAGATATCCGACACATCATTCAGTTAGTGTCGAATAACAATGAAATCATGTCGGTTATATCCGACATAAATTTCTGGCGGATATTTAGTGTTAGATGCAACCGCCATAAAATTATTATAACCACTAGTATTTTTGAATTCTTTTTTTTTTTTAAATATTTTTAACATATTCTGGTGGTTTTTAAGTTAATGGTGGCAGTTATAACTGATAGAAAT